TTCTAATTTGTAGAGCATTTAAAGTCTGTATCACACATCACACATTATTAATCTGAATTCTCAGCTTGCTTGTGGAATCGCTTTTGAATTTCCGGAGACCCTATGTTAGCTTGTGGCTAATATACTTCTGTGACTTCCACACACCACTAGAAACATAGTAGGAACTCCAATAAATATTCATTAAATGAACTCCACTGTTTAATACAGAGCACTAAAAATCAAGAGACAGGAAGATATGACAAAACGTACATCCATCCAGGCATTCTTGCTCGATAAATGATCAGCTGCCTGACAATCATTTTAAGAAGTACTTTTGACTCTTCCCTGGTCCAATGGTTGACTGACATCCTGTGGTAGCCAGCTTCTTAGATGGCTCCCAGTGATCATCACCTCCTGCTATTTACCTCTTCATACTGAATCACTGCTGGCTCCGTGTAGCCAAGATAATGTCACAGCAGAAGTGACAGTGCTGACTTCAGAAGCTAGATTAAAAAAAAGATATTGCAGCTATGGTCTTGTTTTCTTGAATCACTTGCTGTGTGTGTGTGTGTAAGCCAGTCACCATGTTGTGAGGACAGATGGCTGCATGATCTTAGGCAACTTAAGTGACCTTTCTGAGGTTGTCACTTAACGTTTAAATTGAATATATTTCATACTATTTATTTCACAGGGTATTGTGAAGATGAAGTAAGACATATAAAACACAGACCAGGATACCTGGCACATAATAAGCTTTCATTAAGTGTGGCTACTACTGGTGGTGGTGGTGGGAGAAGCTGCAGGAATTGACTGGATGTGAGATGTGAAGGAAACAGAGGAATCAAGGATAATTCCTAGGTTTTTGGCTTGAATAACGAGGAGGTGATAGTATCATTTACTGAGTCTGGGGACAATGGAGGAAAGCTAGTGGAAGGCAAGGGCATTCTCTCGCTTTTTTTTTTTGGCTAAAGGTGCTTAAGCCTCAAAGTGGTAATATTAAAAAAATGATCTCTCACTTATAAACAGTATTCCATTTCCATTCTTCCCTAAATTAATTCAAACCATTTTTTTGTTCTAAGTAATTCCTTCCTGGGACATGAGAAATTGTTGAAGTAAAAATGACAGGAGTTCCAGAGAGGCCAAATTACTCTGCAATCCATGGCCATATAACCCTGGACGAGTCACTGTTCTTAATGAAATGATGGCAAGCGTTACAAAGATGAACAGCAGCAGAACAAAATCCACTCAGGTAGTTCTCACTTTTGTTTTAGAGAGAACAATTAGCAAACATTAGGGAGGACTTATGCGATCAACACGAAAGAAGATTCACATTGGGGGTTATGAGAAATGGCAAGGTCCTCCTATTAATTTTAAATGAAGATTTTCTGATAACTGAAGTGCTCAGGTTTGATGAAATTAGATTTCTGTTCCCATTCTCAGACCCCTCTCCCGGTGGTTTCACTACACAAGGAAGGGTAGCATGTGACACAAATCTGGCTCCTCAGCTGTACACTGAGCTTTCACTTAGTTACTAGTTCAGGCTCATTAAACAATCCTATATATAAAACTGGATTCTTTATAGCATGATGTAACTATTCATTTTATCCGAGGAATATCTGGTCTTCAGATTCTGGCACTTTTCAGGATTCCCCAAACCCATTATGAAATGCTCCAAACAATGTACACTACTTTGAATCTGAATGGGGGACTCACAGGGCAGTTGGAAGTAGAATGGGTTAGTTCACTTAGTAACCAAGTTGGGACCTAAACCCCTGAATGCGGTCTGTACTGACAGCGTGCTGCTCTGGGTCTCACTTCTTGTTTTTTTGTTTTTGTTTTTTAAAGATTTTACTTACTTATTTTTGCGGGGGGGGGGGCAAACACTAGTGGGTGGGAGGGGCAGAGAAGAAGCAGACTCCCCACTGAGCATGGAGCCTGATGTAGGACTCGATCCCAGGACCCTGAGATCATGACCTGAACTGAAGGCAGATGCTTAACGACTGAGCCCCCCAGGCACCCTGGGTCTCACTCACTCCTTTATCCTTAAAATGAAGGGTCTGTACCCATAGATGATCATGAAGTTCTATTCCAGCTCTATGATATCTAATTCTAGTAAGCTGCTACTGGTAAGAAAACCTTGGGTTTTGTTTCCTTTTATTCTTGATAAAGATGAACTGCAAATAAACCATCCACAAGTGATTTTACAGACAAGTTTGTACCAATATTTTCTTGGGTGACTATGAAGTTGTTCCCTCTACCACTGTGATGTATAAAACCAGCTATGGGGACTAAACCTTTGAACTTAACTTCAGCCAAGCATGCTAATAAAGCTACTTGAGATAGAGCTAGTTCATGAAACAGTCATAAGGAAGTACAATATATATATTGTCCACCAACTTCCTCCCACCACAGAAATAGAGAAATGAGGTTTTTTGAGAGGTAGTTGCTACATTTACCATAACTATTGAATTTCTTCAATACTCTGTTTAATTTCCTTTCCCCCCCCACTGTAGTTGGTGTCATGCAAGAATCTGGTCACACTGACTAGAATTGAAAGATACTGGATGGTCGGAGAATTTTAAGTGTGAAATTTAGCATCCCTGCCCTGAACAACAGAGCCTTGATTGGTGTAAACTACTTGCGCAGGTAAGACTGATCACTTACTTTTAGCTTAAAAGTTAACCCTATAAAAACTCTAACAGGACTAAAATGTTTAAATTTTGAAAACTGATCATCAGAGTCTTTCTCCCTCCTTTTTGTCTGGAAGCATTTGCTAGTGTGAAATAGCAAAGCAAGGCGACAGTAATAGACGATGGCAGATGCTATCTGAGGTGGGCTAGTTTGAAACTAGGGGAATACAATCTGTGAATACAGAAGCACTATTACTTTTCAGATTTTAGTATATAATGCATTATCTACACAAGCCAGGGGTAGTGTTTTTCTTTACTAGCACCATAAAAGGAAGCTCCATTTCTTTCTTTTTTTTTTTTTTTAAAGATTTTATTTATTTATTTGACAGAGAGAGAGAGAGAGAGAGAGAGAGCACAAGCAGGGGCAGAGGGAAAGGAAGAAGCAGGCTCCCCATTGAGCAGGCAGCCCGACGTGGGGCTCGATCCCAGGACCCTGGGTTCATGACCTGAGCTGAAGGCAGATGCTTAATGGACTAAGCCACACAGGCACTCCGGAAGCTCCATTTCTTATATAAAAATCTACTTGGATCGAATAAATTTTTCTTAGGAAATAAACTGGCTTATTTCACTCTCTGGTTTTTAAATCAGTCAAGGTACAGATTAGGATTTATATATTTACAACTGGTAGTACACTAATTGCAACCAGATTCCAATTTGCTGGGCTGCACTGGATTCAGACACAAACTCTCTCTGAAGCATCTGGACGGTTTTCTAAATAAAAACTGCAAAGAATTAAAATGATAGACACTGGTAGACATTAGTGAAGGGTCTCTGTATTGGAACCTAGAGACATTGTACAGCCCTCAAGCTTTCAAAGTCCTTGTGCGGGGAATGCTTGGTTTAAAAAATTATTTAAAAATTATAATAGTGTATTTGGGAAAAAAACCCTTCCTATTTCTGTAATCCATGATGCAAAACTTAAAATGGCGACTGGGTAGAGAGTGCAATAGCTCTGAGAGGCTGGGGGCATATAAGAAGGCAGTGTACGGCATCTCAGAAGGCAGATGCATGGCAACATTTTTGTGTTTATCAAAAGAAAGAATGTGATTTAAAAAAAGATTTAAAGAATCCCCACTCTAGATTTTTATAAATGAGAATGTGGTACCTAGAAAGCTATGGTGATAAACACAGAGAAATGGGGCACATTCTGAATAGAGCTCATGATTCTTACTTGATCAGAATCCAATAACTTCTTATTCCCACCTGAAAGAAATAAGGAATGAACAAAATAATGAAAAAGAGCTTGTATGTGACTCTTCAACACTTGTACCATCTGATGCAAGAAAGATTAAAAAAGAAAAAAAAAGGAAAGATTTAAAAATCTGACATAGGGGCGCCTGGCTGACTCCGCTGGAAGAACATGTGATGCTTGATCTCGGGGTCCTAAGTTCGAGCCTCGTATTGGGTGTAGAGATTACCACAAAAAAATAAACTTAAAAACAAAAATAAGACATAAAAAAGAAAAAACCATGCCTGCATTTATGCTGTGATTAAAATATCTTCTAAAAAAATCATATTCTCTGAAAAACCAAGGTACTAAAATTATACAAAAAGACACATGAGGGCACTCTAACCAACAAGCATAGCAACTACAGTTTTGACATAGAATTTTAAAGTAAACTTAAAAAAAAAATTGAAGTATGGTAGTTTAACATTAAATATTTGAAATAGGAAATTACTGATGCCTTTTGGTAAAGACCTTGGGATTTTGGTGTCTATCCTTGGTCACTATACTTGCCTTCTGTTCGATTCAGGATCTTGTCTGAGTATTTGTGTAGGATTAAGTTTACTTCTGAAATACGAAATGAGACTATTCTAATGGTACTAGATTATAGAGAGGTGCTTTACCTCATCATGAAAAGACACTATTTTGAAAAGTATTTATGTACAGTTTATGTACAATTAAGGTGATAATTAAAAATCAGTCTTCTATTAAGGTGGCCACAAAATACTTTTGCCAACACTTTCCTTTGGCCAGTATGTATTGCTTGCATGTGCCTTAAAATATTTTAATTACCTTTCTAGGCAAAAAAACCAATCAAAGAATGATCAACCTCAGGCCTTTAACTATTTGTACCAAATCTGGTTTTTTAGACAAAGATACTATTCACAATCAAGTCTTACTTTTATTTCCATTGGACAACTGTGATTAGAAAAGGTGAGAAAGCATCTATACTCTCCCTCTCCCTTCAAATACATTTACAATACTATTTTATTTCATCCAATGCTTTTAAAAAACTATTCAGTCTAAATACCATCTATAATTTTAATATTAAATATCTGCATTCTGTTCTAGCTCCTGAGACAAAATTCCAAGAAAATCTGATATAAATGAGTAACAACTCAACATGTATTCAACCATCCAGGATCTCTTCCATGGCTTTGCCAATCATTTATGCCTTCCTTTGCATCACTGGTCTCTTTGGAAATTCTCTCTCTCAATGGGTATTTTTAACAAAAATAGGCAAGAAAACATCAACGCACATCTACCTAGCACATCTTGTGACGGCAAACTTACTTGTGTGCAGTGCCATGCCTTTCATGGGTATCTATTTCCTGAAAGGTTTTCAATGGGAATATCGATCTGCACAATGCACGGTGGTCAATTTTTTGGGAACTCTATCCATGCATGTAAGTATGTTTGTCAGCCTCTTAATTTTAAGTTGGATTGCCATAAGTCGCTATGCTACCTTAATGAAAAAGGATTCAGTACAAGAGACCACTTCGTGCTACGAGAAAGTATTTTATGGCCACTTACTGAAAAAATTTCGCCAGCCCAACTTTGCTAGAAAACTGTGTGTTTACATATGGGGAGTTGTACTAGGCATAATTATTCCGGTTATCATATATTACTCAGTTGTAGAAGCTACAGAAGGAGACGAGAACGTGTGCTATAATCGGCAGATGGAACTAGGAGCCGTGATCTCGCAGACCGCAGGCCTCATTGGAACCACATTTATTGGATTTTCATTTTTAGTTGTACTAACATCATACTACTCTTTTGTCAGCCATCTGAGAAAAATAAGGACCTGTACATCCATTATGGAGAAAGATCTGACTTACAGTTCTGTGAAAAGGCATCTTTTGGTCATCCAGGTTCTCCTAATAGTTTGCTTCCTTCCATATAGCATTTTTAAACCCATTTTTTATGTTCTACGCCAAAGTGATAACTGTCAGCAACTGAATTATTTAATTGAAATTAAAAACGTCCTCACCTGTCTTGCATCAGCCAGAAGTAGCACAGACCCCATTATATTTCTTTTTTTAGATAAAACGTTCAAAAAGACACTATATAATCTCTTTACAAAATCTGACTCCCCACATATACAAACCTATAGTTGACTTCTGAATAGAAAACACCACCAAATAGAAAAGTGTTTATATGGCTACTAGGGATACTGAACTACATGATTAACAGGTCACAACTTGCTTGAAGGCAGGCACTAAGAAAACCTCTTTGGTTTTAGAAATAATCATAAAATTCACTTTACAGGTCTACTAATACTGCAAGTTGAGATGGCAGAGACTCTCAGAGGCAAAAGTCAAGCATGTTAAAAGGATCTCACTGCGTATGAAAGCAACAGACCATTTTTCTCTTTAAACTCAACTGTGTATGCTTTTATTTAGAACACAACAGGTCATGACTGTAGGATAAAGCAGCAAATGGTTTATGACTTTTCTGCTTTCTAGTAGTTGCAATATAAGGGCCCATCTATGGCTAGTGTTCTGTTGGTAACTTTAAAAATGAGTAAAAGAAAGAAAGTGAATCAGAAATTATCTCGCTTAAGTCCTATCTAGATGTATGAATAATAGAGTGCAAAAATCCAAGGTTTTATAAACGCATTATCTTGTATCATCTGCTTATGTTACTTCAAGAAGCAATATTCGTTGATTCCGGTATTTATTAAGCCGGTGTTTTTATAAATATACTTAAATATTCGGGTCAGGCTTGGTCAAAATAAAGAGCGAATACAATGTCATTATATGCCTATCTTCATCACATCTTGTAAATTTCCCTCTGTACTCAATATAAATGTGATTAATGACAAACAGTACCTGGCATGTAGATATGTTCAATTAATTTTTGTGAAAATAGACGAATGAATAATAAGGGCAGTATAATAGTATTTCTGTTGAGAGACTGGTCTCTGGAGTTAGATTCCCTGGGTTCGATCCTAGCTGAACCTCTTATTTAGCTATACAATCCTCAGTAAATTACTACCCTCTTAAAGTGTTAATTTCATCATTTGTAGAATGGAAAAATGCTACGTAATTCATAGGTACTATTATTAAATCAGATGATGTTACTATTCTGAGTAGCTGTCATTCACTAAGCATTTGTTATGTGCCAGGCACTCTGCTCATATGCTTTGCATGTATTTTAATCATCACCACCATAAAAGATGCCAATTTGCTGATGAAAAAACTGAAGTGCATAGATAAGTCACCCCAATTTTCTCCAATACCTAAATAAATATTTAAACAGTAAGCATTTCTCGGTCATTTCTTTCTTTCATGTAGTCTTGTCAGGAAGATAAATGATGGGGACTATACTATGTGCTATATACAGTCTAATTAAAAAAATTTTTTATGTGTTTTATTTTCCCAAAAAGATCAAAGTGCCTTTTGAGCTGTAGTTTGCTTTCAATTTCTACACCCATGGCACTTGCATTCTCTGCTCAGATAAGAACCAGACAAAAACAGTTAAATGAAACTGAAGCTGAATAAATGTTAATGGTAACCTGTTACTTCATTAGAGACTGCCCAAAGACTCATTTATTCTCTTCGTGGTCATTTCTTCAATGCTCGGAAAGAAGTTTAAAGTTCACATAGCACTTCCAAGCCTTTAATCTCATAGCATGTTTTGTTCCTAAATTAAAAATGTAGAAACCACGCACTTGTACAGATTCCCCAAGAGCCACGTGTTCAATGCCACTAGAGGTTTTTCTAACACATCTGCATAATTTTCATTAAAAAAAGAATAGTTCAATGCTTAACTGAGAGAAGAAAATGTTCAGAAAAAAATCTAAAGAAAATGCATACTGGCTTCAAATGTTTACAGTGTACATCTATTCTTTATAGCAGCGATTTGATCTCTGTTGGATTAATCTGCAGACACAAAGGCAGACCTGGGAACTCTAGGTGATTCCCTAAGTGCTGGCTGTAAACAGAGGTGTCCAATCATTGCTTTCATTTTACATAAGTGATACAGTATTAAATCTCACTATATAATATATATATATATCCTCTAAAAATCATTATTAAAAACATCACTTTACCTTGCCACAACTTTAAGTAAAAGATATAAAATATTACCAAAGTAGAGTTTCCTACATTTAAAAAAGGCAGGAAAATTGGTATGCAATTTCTCTTTAAGTTACTCATTCTTATAGAAAACTCCCATTTTAAATCTGTCCTGAGCTTATTATCACTGTGTTTATCTTCACACCACAGATACTTTCCTGATCAGTAATTGTAAATCATGTTGAACTTTTTTGTGTAATTGACAAACTGACCATTTAATATCATGGTAAATATTTTATATGAAATATTACTCTCTAAATTACCTTTAAAGTGTAGATTTCAGCAAAACTGTGCTCAAAAAATTTTTATTATAATAGTTGGCATACGATGTCATGTTATATGTTAGTTTCAGGTGCACAGCATAGTGATTTGACAATTCTATACATCATTCAATGCTCATCACGGTAAGTGTAGCCACCATCTGTGACCACACAACGGTACTACAATATTATTGGCTGTATTCCCTATGCTGTACTTTTCATCTCCATGACTAGTTTATTTTATAACTGGAAGTTTGTACCTCTTAACCCCCTTCACTTATTTCACCCATTCCCTCACTCCCCTGCCCTCTGGCAACCACTTGAGAAAAACAATGTTTTTAATGCGTGGGTTATAGTCAAACACAATTCCAGAAGCCCCAAATTTTGGCTCATTGGCCAACAAGATTATATCTTCCATACAGAAAAGAGGCACGACAAATGTTTGTTTTCCCTTTTCTCCTTTCCATATACACACTCTCATTAAGGTGGCTTTCAAACTAATTGGGAACAAAACCATTAAGACTAGACGAGCACACTTATGGTTAGAATACTCAAGCTGGAAGAGCTTCTACTTCCTGGGTGGAAGAGGAAGATGTCAATCCCCTTTATTTGGTAAGGACTCTCCCAGCCTATCCCTGGCCTTGCAGGCTGCAGGGTGGGGGTTGTTGGGAACAAATGTGGGACGACAAGCTGAAAGGAAATCTGGCTCGGCAAATCACAAAAGCAGCTCAGAGGGATGCTGGTAATTTGCTAAGCATTTCAACCCTGCAGTCTAATGCCATGGATCTTCCTCTGACTGCCCCCAAATTCAAATTGAATTGATATCGGTGGGAAGAGTTACAACAGCTAGAAAGGTTTTATGCCTGACAGGAGAAAATGCTTTGGCCATTATCATACATGTTTGCTGCCCTGGCTCAGAAGGAGAGCATCAGCGAAAGAATTCACGTCTAATAAGCAAAAGACACAGGCATTCCCATCTTTTTTTTTTTTTTTTTTAAGTAATCTGTACTCTCAACATGGGGCTTGAACTCATGACCCCAAGATCAAGGGCTGCATGCTCCCCTGAGCCAGCCCGGTGCCCCTCATTCTTTCCTCTCTAAATCAAGGAGTTGATTTTTTTGGAAGGGTGGGGTGGGAGAAGAGAAGCATAGCAGTTAGAGACACAAGACAAATTTAAGATCTTATAATTCATGAGATTTTTTCTAAGGACAATTATTAAAACCCCACATTCAAGCTGAACATGTGCATTATGTTCAACCTTACAAAAGTAATGCAGATGATGAATCAGTGTGCCTCTTACAATAAAGAATAAAAAAACCGTGTTTTCATTTTCATGAGAATTTCAATTTCTTTGTACAACATGAGGGACTTCTTGGACATTGGGGTAAGAGACGTAGAAGAAATGTCAGCAACCAAGAGCAATAGGGGAAGAAATACTGTACGAAATCCATAATGCCATGGCATCTAGTGTGATGTGATGAACACCTGTTTATAAAGTCAGATGAAAGGGGAACTGAGAAGAGAAGGGGACCAACGAGCAGCCAGGCGTGTTCACCAGTTAGGAGGAAAACCATTTCAAGGAAGCGCATGCAGAAATGCTTGGGTGGAGGCTTCTGGCTGAGTGTCTATGACTGTCTGGCTATGGGGTTTTGCACAGTTCTGAGAACTAAACACTGAGCCCCCAAACCTCCTGGGCACAGGTCCCACTCGGAACAGGAAGTGACTGTGCGCATGGCCATTTGCATTTAGAGAAGCGGTGTAACTTCAACTTCAGCTATTAAAATTGGATGTCAGTAGGTCAGAGCCACAGAAAGGTCTAAGAATGCTTCATCTCTCCATGCCCAGGTGATGCAGTGTAAAGCTGTCTCCAGGAGTTGGGGGAGACAAGAAAAACCCACTGACTCTTAATGCTTAATAGAGCCAATGAAGGCAGGCAACGAGCCAGGCTCTGCATTTACCTTGGCAACTGTACTATTTCTTTCTAGAGTTCTTTTAATTTTGGGGCGAGAGGAAGAAAAGAGAATGATGTGAAACATAATGAAAGTTTTCACATCCTCTCACAAGAAAAAGGAATAAAAGGGAAGAGGACGGGGGGGGGAAAAAAAAAGAAATGAGCATGCATGCCTTAATTAATGCCTGTGGGGAGGTGCAGCAGGAAAAATGTAGTATTATACAGTGGATCTTAACCAGGGGCGACTTTTGTGTCCCCGGGGACATTTGGCAATGACTGGAGACATTTCTGATTGTCACAGCTAAGGGGAAATACTATTGATATGTACTGAGTCGACGCAATAATACACAAGACAGCCTCCCACAACAAAGTACCTGACCCAAAATGTCACTAGTGTGGAACATTTCGGAGTTGGGAGAAACCTATACTATGAAGATATGCTTCTCTGAATTTCAAAGGTTTACACAATTGCCTCCTATGCAATTTATGCTTCCCCAAAGCAAGTTCCCACTGCAGGTCATGAGGTACTATATACTCAAACCAAACATTTTTAGGCTCAATTATAATGATTTCAAAAAGAAATGCCTATCAAGTTAAGAAAAAAGTATTACTAATCAATAAAATGCCAGGATCTTTGGAAAAATCTAATGCTTTGGGACCGGTGCCAAGGATTCTGAGAGAGAAGGAAAGGGAGAGAATATGAGAATATTCTTGGCAAGATGAAACCTGATTAAGTAATCTAAATTTTTCCAAAACGAATAAAACATGACAATACTCTTGTATTTTCTTTAGTTAAGTGAAAAGGAAGAAAACTTTGACAAAAACAAACTACAGAAACCAAAACCTATACAGAAATCTACACACAGGCCAGTCACTGAACATAGGCTATCTGAACGTGAAGAAAAGCTGCTTTATTAGCAAACATTAACAAGTCAAATAGAAATGTGAAATTATTAGCCGTGTGAGATGTACCGTTATTAAAGTTTTATAA